CAGGTATAATCCCCGAATGAGTACAACATTCATTTTCAAATGTGGTAGATGTGGACATTGACGCTGGCACACAAATGGCCTACTCTTCTTCTTTGGTTCTTTCGGTAAAGTCAAGTAGAATGAGAATAAAATAATAAATTGATAAAATAAAATAACACAATAATATTCTCACGACGTTTCGGCCACAACACAAGCGGCCTTCATCAGGTGAAGGGACGAGACTGTCTGGTAGGACAGCGCTGGAGTGAAAAAAGCCACGTTCAGATCACGACCTTTAAGCTGTGTCAGAAGAAACAAAGCGCCTTGACAAAGGAATTAGCATATAATTTAGCATTGAAATGGCCGAGTGATTAGCTTGTGACTGGTCACAGAAATGGCTATGTTAAAGTTAAAGCATACACATCCGCAGAGGCACCCCTTGACAAAGGAATTAGCATAGAATTTAGCATTGAAATAGCTCAGTTAAAGCATACACATCCGCAGAGGCACCCCTTGACAAAGAAATTAGCATAGAATTTAGCAATGAAATAGCTGAGTGATTAGCTTGTAACTGGTCACAGAAATAACTATGTTTAAAGTCAGAGCATACACATTCACCGAGGCACCTAGTACAAATCAAACAGGAGAATTTAGCATTGAAATAACTAGGCGAATTTAGCATTGAAATAACTGAGTGATTAGCTAGTGACTGGTCACAGAAATGGCTATGTTGAAGTCAAGGTCTACACATCTGAGCTATTCACAGTAACTGGGTATACAATACAATGTATAATGAATACTATATAGTGAACCAATAAAAAACTAAAATATAAATTACCTTAATGTTATCAATAAACTCTATATTCTCCAATCAGCTAAGCTACCAACAATAAGTCATTATATATCACAATGCTATATGGCGAAAAAAAGGGTGGATTCTTACCCTCAACTTTAGCAACACGGATAGCTACGGGCCCCGTTCAGACGGACGATTTCATCCAAGGTCGGAACAGAGGAGGGGGAGAGTGACAGCTGCGAGGCGCTATTATACTCCATGTTGTAAACCATACCATTAACCGTGGTGTGAGAGGTATTAAGAGTCAATGCTGGTGAAAGAGCTGCGGTCTGAAGGTCATCGTAAAATACAATTAATTAAGAACGGAAATGGTTTGAAACATCTTTCCAATGGTTACTAAGCCAGAATCCATCTTCTCGGTTGAAATTGTCTCTGTGCTTGTATATGTGAATGGCCTCATGAACGAATCTCTCATGGTAGCCGGTTGGTTTGCAAAGAACCTCCGTCTTGGAGAAGTCAATGTCATGTGAGCCCACTGAATTATAACAGTGATCTGCCACGGCAGAGGAGTTCGTCGTACCGTGTTTCAAGTCTGCTTTATGTTCACTGATGCGGTCCGAGATATGTCGTTTGGTTTCTCCAATGTAGCTACTACCACAGAGGCACTTTAGTTTGTAAACGCCCGGGTACTGTATGTCTGGAACAGCATCTTTTACAGATGGAACTAGATCACGGATTTTATGTATTGTGTTGAATCGGACCTGGATCTTGTGTTTATTCAGGATTTTGGAGATCTTTTTTTAGTGACCCCTGCAATTCAGGGTAAGGTGATGGTTTTGAGTGGCTCCACAAGAGAATCCTTCTTCATGACTGGAGTGATGGCTTTGCGGATTGTGTAGTCGGAGTAACCATTAGCCCTGAGAGCCTGGTGTACGTACTTGAGTTCACTGGTAATGTGTTCCTGGTCGGAAATGCATTGGGCTCTATGGATGTCTTAATTAAAAGGAGAAATGATGGGTCAATGAGCCACTCTGTCTACAGGAAAGCCACCCATACAGATGCTTACTTGAAACCGGATTCCCACCACCATCCATCCCAGAAGAACTCCCTCATCAATACTCTATACCATAGAGCCCAATGCATTTCCGACCAGGAACACATTACCAGTGAACTCAAGTACGTACACCAGGCTCTCAGGGCTAATGGTTACTCCGACTACACAATCCGCAAAGCCATCACTCCAGTCATGAAGAAGGATTCTCTTGTGGAGCCACTCAAAACCATCACCTTACCCTGCATTGCAGGGGTCACTAAAAAAAGATCTCCAAAATCCTGAATAAACACAAGATCCAGGTCCGATTCAACACAATACATAAAATCCGTGATCTAGTTCCATCTGTAAAAGATGCTGTTCCAGACATACAGTACCTGGGCGTTTACAAACTAAAGTGCCTCTGTAGTAGTAGCTACATTGGAGAAACCAAACGACATATCTCGGACCGCATCCGTGAACATAAAGCAGACTTGAAACATGGTAGGACGAACTCCTCAGCCATGGCAGATCACTGTTATAATTCAGTGGGCTCACATGACATTGACTTCTCCAAGACGGAGGTTCTTTGCAAACCAACCGGCTACCATGAGAGATTCGTTCATGAGGCCATTCACATATGCAAGCACAGAGACAATTTCAACCGAGATGATGGATTCTGGCTTAGTAACCATTGGAAAGATGTTTTAAACCATTTCCGTTCTTAATTAATTGTATTTTACGATGACCTTCAGAGCGCAGCTCTTTCACCAGCATTGACTCTTAATACCTCTCACACCACGGTTAATGGTATGGTTTACAACATGGAGTATAATAGCGCCTCGCAGCTGTCTCTCTCCCCCTCCTGTGTTCCGACCTTGGATGAACTCGTCCGTCTGAACGGGGCCCGTAGCTATCCGTGTTGCTAAAGTTGAGTGTAAGAATCCACCCATTTTTTCGCCATATAGCATTGTGATATATAACGACTTATTGTTGGTAGCTTAGCTGATTGGAGAATATAGAGTTTATTGATAACATTAAGGTAATTTATATTTTAGTTTTTTATTGGTTCACTATATAGTATTCATTATACATTGTATTGTATACCCAGTTACTGTGAATAGCTCAGATGTGTAGACCTTGACTTCAACATAGCCATTTCTGTGACCAGTCACTAGCTAATCACTCAGTTATTTCAATGCTAAATTCGCCTAGTTATTTCAATGCTAAATTCTCCTGTTTGATTTGTACTAGGTGCCTCGGTGAATGTGTATGCTCTGACTTTAAACATAGTTATTTCTGTGACCAGTTACAAGCTAATCACTCAGCTATTTCATTGCTAAATTCTATGCTAATTCCTTTGTCAAGGGGTGCCTCTGCGGATGTGTATGCTTTAACTGAGCTATTTTAATGCTAAATTCTATGCTAATTCCTTTGTCAAGGGGTGCCTCTGCGGATGTGTATGCTTTAACTTTAACATAGCCATTTCTGTGACCAGTCACAAGCTAATCACTCGGCCATTTCAATGCTAAATTATATGCTAATTCCTTTGTCAAGGCGCTTTGTTTCTTCTGACACAGCTTAAAGGTCGTGATCTGAACGTGGCTTTTTTCACTCCAGCGCTGTCCTACCAGACAGTCTCGTCCCTTCACCTGATGAAGGCCGCTTGTGTTGTGGCCGAAACGTCGTGAGAATATTATTGTGTTATTTTATTTTATCAATGTATTATTTTATTCTCATTCTACGTGACTTTACCGAAAGAACCAAAGAAGATGAATCCTTGCAGTCACGAAAGCTTTAAATCGAAATTTGGCCTACTCTTACCAATTGACGTCAGGGGCATCTTTAACGTCCACGGTCAAAAGCAGACGGTCGCGCATCGTGTACCTAAGGCAGGGATGGGGAACCTTTTTTTCTGCCAAGGGCCATTTGGATATTTATAACATCATTCGCGGGCCATACAAAATTATCAACTTAAAAATTAACGTGTTATATTTGGTCAAACATTTAATTAACTCACCCCTAATGTGATGGCTCTTTGGCGAGGCGCGTGACGTTAGCTGGAATTGACGATGTTGCTACTCGCAACTGCTTTTCCAGGTTTGCTCCCTAGATTTATTGAATTTCGACTCCCGCCTGTGGTTGCCTTGGCAGGGCCAGAGACCAAATGATTTCGCGGTCCTCACACGGCCCGCGGGCCGGACCTTCCCCACCCCTGACGGTGAACATCTTTCGCACCGCACGTCGCCAGCCGCTGGAAAATCGAGCCGCGACACCTCTGCAAAAGCGAGCAGCAGCGGTGGATGTCTCCCGCCAGGTCGCGTCACGGCCCACGGAAGGCCCACGGTGTGACTGACGAATGTCGAGATATTGTTGATTCAACTTTTAAACTGGTGGTATAGTCAGTTTAACACGTTGGCTTTCGCGACCAATATCATCCATAAAACAGGTTTTTTTGGGGGGTTTATTCGTTTGGCGTGTTCTGTTTACGTGACAAACCTTTACTAATTGACTGTGTCGGGTGGTGGCGGGTTTAACGACGCATATTTACGCGACCTAACCCAAAAAAACCTGTATTATGATGGTACAGCATTTCAGAGTCGAATAGTTGCTTGTGCAGGTCTCTTGTGTATGGGGAGCGGTGGCGTATCGGTTAGCGCGCTGCACTACGAGTTCGATTCACACTCACGGCCAACACCAGTGACGATGATCTGAATCGGTTCTGGGCCTCCCCTAGGTCGACTGAGCCTCAAATGAGTACCTGCTGCGTTGTGTAAAGATTGTCACGAGGAAGACAAAGGCGGCCGGGCGTGGTGCTAGCCACCCACCCCCTCGTGTGCCGAGCCGGCCTTCATAGGTGCTCGCTAACAACACTTGCCCCGACACTGTTAAGGCTATCCACTTCTGTCTCTCTGTGTGTGTGTGAGAGAGACCAGTTGTGTATAACTTCATTGACACTGGGCACAAGTTTGTGCGTCTTACAATCCGAGTGCGTCTTATAATCCGGGTGCGTCTTATAATCTAGGTTGCGTCTTATAATCGGGACGCGTCTTATAATCTAGGTTGTGTCTTATAATCTGGACGCGTCTTATAATCCGGCGCGACTCACAACACGTGGAATCCACATGGGGGAGGGGGAAATAACGTGGGGGTGGCGTGGACCAATCAGCGCACGGTTAACTTCGAGTTGGCGGCGTCATCAGCCAATAGGAGCTCGCCGCTTGGCACGTCCGTGTTGCAGTGCTGTCAACTCGGATTTTGGTTACTTTGAAATCTCTTCGTTTCTTTTAATGTAAAATCCCTTCCGCGCCGTTTGTTTGTTTGTTTGTTCGTCGTCGTTTATTGCTTAACCGCCGACGTCGCCCCGCGTGGAATTGAGAGAAAGATGCCGAGGGTCGCGCTGATCCTCGCTTTTATTTTCGCGGCGTCCGCGGCCGAAGTGAGACGACCCCGAGGTGTATCCGTGACGAGTGAGTGGAGCAGGCCTCAGCAACACCAACACCACCAACAACACAACCACCACTGGCTCTATCCACTGCTGGATGACGGCCACCGCCACGCTGTGTTAGTCCTCGGGGTGTTTTTTGTTGCTTCACCGCGCCAGTCGGCGCCACTGATGTTAGCCGCGGCCGGTGTGTGTGGGGGCGGTGTCCACCTTTAATTTGTGAAGTTAATTGAGGCTTTTGGTGTTAATTGGGTGGGGGGGGGGGATGGGGAAACCGGCGTCGTCAGTGACGTTACTTACATTCGGCGCCCGGAGTTTAAATAATGTTATTGTATTTACATTGAGTGACGTTCACGTGAGTTAAATGCGTGGCCGTGGGCTAAGTGGGACCCTCCTATCGGATATTACCCGCGATGATCTGCATCTCACTCTTTGCAACAGATCTCGAAAGCTAAGCGGGTGCTGAGCCTGGACGGGTGCTTGATTGGGCGAACGCCATGCACAACGCAGGTGTTATAGGCTGCGGCTACGCGTGTTTGGTGCTGGCAAGCAGAACGGAGTGCAGAAGGAGTTTCCATTGTTGTACTGTACGGCTATGCTCCCACTTCTCTGCTCCCTGCCTTCAACAACCCGCACTGACCGGCGTGGTGAAGTATGGCCACGTAACCCCCACGACCAACACGGCGTGGAGAGGTCCACAGCCACCGTGGGATTGACCTGTACAATTATGTCATGTGGCATCCCATTACACTGAATCATTCCTTGAGTGTGGTTACGTTGAGTGTAGTTACGTTAAAATAAATAACAGTGTAGAGCTGTTTGTCAAACCACTGCGAGGTGAAGGCCCTCCCCTATGCTGCGCCAGTCGTGAGGGTTGTTGGACCATACTTCACCTCGCTGGTCAGTGCGGGTGGGTGAAGAAGGGTGTTGAGTTCCAGGACTGGTTCAGATGTCACTCGCCACTGATGTTAGCCGTTGCCTGGAATCACTGTGTCACCGCTACCATTTTGGTTAGAAGTCAACATTAGTCCTGATTTAGTGACTGGTCCCCGCCATAGCGATGTGGAATTTCCACCATGTTCTCGGGGCTACGAATGCTGAAGAGCATTACGACCAAGCAAACCTGAGCAGGGTGGACACTTTTGGCATCCAGAGTTTTGCTCCGCTTGTATCAAACCACATTGTAGAAAGATATTGCGACACGCTGGCACCGATGTTCATCTTTGAGTTCACGTTCTCCCACTTTATTGTGAATAATATTGGTCGCGAAAGGCTACGTTGTTAAACTGACTATTTGTCACTGTCCCTCCTCCTCCACCTCCTCCCTCGTTTCCAGAGCGTCCGCTTTATGATGAAACCAAGGACTTCACATGCCTTGATGGCTCCAAGACCATGCCCTTCGACCGTGTGAACGATGACTACTGCGACTGCAAGGATGGCTCCGATGAACCAGGTGATTTTCACGGCTCGCGATGCTCCTTAAAGCAAGGTGGGGGGGGGACCTTTTACTTAGAGGAGCTGAGTGGAACTTTCAAATTATTTTTGACAGGCGACGTATTAGTCAATTGCCACGAAGCTTCGATCACGCTGTTACTCCCGACTCACTGTGTGCTCAGAAATTACTTGAGAGGCTGCAGGATAACTGGGTGCACTGAAGTCACCAAACACTGTTGTTGTTAGGTCTAAATTATCTCCACCCCCCCCCCCCCAGTACCTGATTAGTGCAGCAGTTATGGATTAATACAAATGTGCTCTCTGTGTACAAGTGTTGACCTCGCCGGGGGCCTGACAAAACGCAGTTACAAGGGCGCGTGTGACCCATGGGCCTTAGGTTCTGCATCTCTGGCTTCAATGAAGATGCGACCTAACAGCTTGGGAAAAGTAGCTAGCGATCCCACACATGGAAGGAACGGATGGACAGAACTAATTCATGAGCACTGTCAACTTTAGTTGGAGAGGCATCAAAATATATATAGGTGGGTCTTCAAGTTTTTCTAGGGCACCCCTCAAGTACGCTCTGTGCATGTGGTTGCTCAGAAAGGCTTACAAACAAGGATTTGTCTCCCTCCCTGTGCTGCTGTTGCGTTTCTCGGTCTCTGTCTCTCCTGTGTGTCTCTCTCTCTCTCTGTCTCTCCACAGGGACGTCGGCGTGCCCCAACGGAAACTTCCACTGCACCAACGCGGGCTATCGTCCACAGAACATCCCCTCCTCGCGCGTCAACGACGGCATTTGCGGTACGACGCCGCGCCAAGTGCCGGGAGGAAGACCTTTTGCGACGTGTTCGGTCCCTGAAAGTCTTATCGGCGCGTCAATTGGCAGTGTGCCGTTATTTAGGAGTCTTCTTCGTTTGCGTGGTGGGAGTCGGAGTAGGTTTTGGGTGATTGGCAGCGGGTTTGTGTTCGCGTCGACTTAAGCCAGTGCAGCGGCGATTTTGCGAATGTCCGTGATGTTGCCCGTAAATGGTCAAATCGGGCAGAAGATGTCGTCCAGGGTTTGGCTGTGTTCATGATAAATGCATATTATGTAATGGTATAATTTTACAGCCCTTTTACCAATCCACTCGTGGACGACGGGACCCTTGGCTTCATACGAGTCATGGAGATATTTTTTCCCATGCTTGGTCCGTGCCGGGTTGGTGAAGGAGTAGCACAAACACAGGAGCATACATGTGCAGTACAACAGTTGATTGTGCGACTCTGTCCTCTGCTGCACACAACGTTGCCCCGCAGCCTACAGCAACTTTTACGCTTGGCAGATGCCGGTGCATCGGGTTCATAGCGCAGTGCGCTTACCACTGCGCCACCGCCCGACCGCTCCACTCCTATAAAGGTCATTTTAGTTTACCCATGAAATATGAGCAAGTACTGTTGGGTCAAGGAGGTCGGGGTGTTGGCCACGGGCCTCGTGGACCCATTATGTTGACCGACTCTGTTGAGGCTTAGCGATAGGAAGAGGAAGTTCACTTGGGCTTTGCTAGGAGAGACCTTAGTGGTTGGTGTGGAGGGTGAACCCATCCCAGACTTGACTTTCTGAATTCATAATGTGGAATGTAAGCAGCCTTTGAGTACAATTGTGTGTGATCTGATTTGGAGTCCGTGGTTAATGAATTGCGGGTAATAATGACGCTACATGATGTATTTTTTAAAGTTTGACACAGCTCATGTAAACAATAATTGTTATTTTTGCAACGGGTATATATTCGCGTCTTTTCTGGACCCTTGCAGATTGCTGTGACACCACCGATGAATACAACAGTGGTGCTGTCTGTGAGAACACGTGCAAGTAAGGAAGCTTTGTCTACTTAAGGTTACATGGATTTGGGTTGTTTAGTTAGATGGCTCAGAAGACTCATGCCTATCGCAAAACATTGAACTTATACCACTAAGGTAACGCACGCATCTCTCCGCCTGCCCACGCCGTGCGCGTCATGATGGTCATATGACCATGCTTCACTCTGCGGTTCGGTGGGGAGCTAGAGTTGGGAGCCTAGAAGTAGAGTACTACCTGGTAGTTTCCTGCACAGCCCTCTACTGCCCACCACGTGGCACAGCCCTGTGGACACCAATGACAACCTGGTATGCATGTTGGTCACGTGTCTTAGCACAATGCAGGCTCAACCCTATTTTTCACATGCTCCATACGGGCCATTAACTGAATCATCGCCTTTTTAAAATATATTTTTCTTTTAAGATCCGCTTTTATTGACGAATTTTAGTTTTGTTTCGTTTATAATTGTTATTGTGCACCACTGCTAACACGGCATCATTAAGTAATTTGTTCAGTGATGGTCGGGAACGTCTTTATGGCACCCTAGTGATATCATTGTGATGTCAAATACAGTGAAATACAATGCAACTGCATGATGTCATGGGAATACAAAAATTGAATGCTTGATTTGTAAAGGCTTATTTAGCCATAAATGGCGCTTAAGACTAGTGTCAGACGGACCAGGGACACACAACTTGGGGTACATGTGTACAAGACAAAAATTTAAATACAAAAGCATTTCAAGAAAACACTACGTTTGAGTGGAAAGCAGCCTGGGGCAGAGATCAGGCCAGAGAAGCGTGCAAGAGCACCACAGGGTAGACTGTGGCACGGTTCTGGATGAAAGCCACTGGGGTTCAACAACAAGGAAAGCAATTGAGAGCCCCAGGTGCAGTCAGCGCAGCACCAACGAGTCCCAAGTCAAGTGCTGTTTTGCAGGGTTTTGCCTTCTTTTCCACCACTACCCGTGGCCTCTCCGTTGACATCAATGATGGTGACAAGGTTATGTATGACATCGGTGGTGAACCTACGGCCCGCGGTCACATGGGACTCTACGCTTGCACGTGTGCACGTTGAACTTCATTCGCGCCGTATGTAGCCAACCGTGCTAATCGGAGGGGCTGCTAGCAGCATCTTAGTCACACTGCTCGGGTGCTAGAGGGGGATATTTCGATTGTGTCTCTAATTCGACCACGTTTCTAATTTCAGCGCGGTAAGTCACTTGAGTCACTCTCATTGCCTCCTGCAGCTATGGAAGTGACCGCCGTGCGTGTTCACCGGCGTGGCCTCGCCAAGCTCTTTGAAAGTCCATGCGGGCCCTCAGTAATGCAAGTGGTTCCTCACTCCCCCCCCCCCTCCTGAATTGTTCGCCCACCAAGGGAACTGGGACAGAAGGACCGAGAGAACATGGCCAGGCAGGCGGAGGTGGCGGCCGAGGGCTTCCGCATCAAGCAGCAGCTCATGGAGGAGACGAAACGCGGCAAGGAGGAGAAGCAGGTGCGTGAGAGGTAGTGCGTGAGAGGTAGTGCGTGAGAGGTAGTGCGTGAGAGGTAGTGCGTGAGAGGTAGTGCGTGAGAGGTAGTGCGTGAGAGGTGGTGCGTGAGAGGTAGTGCGTGAGAGGTAGTGCGTGAGAGGTAGTGCGTGAGAGGTAGTGCGTGAGAGGTAGTGCGTGAGAGGTAGTGCGTGAGAGGTGGTGCGTGAGAGGTAGTGCGTGAGAGGTAGTGCGTGAGAGGTAGTGCGTGCCTGCGCCCCCCCCCCCCCCCAGTGAACAGTTCTGTTTCGCTCTTTTCAGCACTGGTTGAAAGCTTGAATGCTTATATTTGCCCACCCGTCTGTCTGTCCGTCCATCAGTAAAGGGGGAGGGGACACAGTAGCTCTTATGAAGATGATCCAGCACGAGCGAAATTTGAGTATAAAGGGTCGCCCGCACCCTCCCTGGCAGAGCTGCTACAATGAGACGCATTTATTCCTCGTAAATTTAATTTCTCTTCCAATATTCAACTTTTTGTTGTTCGAGTCAATGTCCTCATTTTCTTACTGGAGTTAGTATCCCACTCGTGTGGAGACTGATGCCTACTCCCTACGCCTCTTTCTCCATTCCCTCCTGTCCTGGGCCATCGTCTCCACGTCCTGTCCACAGTTCTTCATGTCGATGGTTCATCACCTGGGGCCACCTCTCTGTCTAGGCCAGTGGTTCTTAACCTTTACTGCAGCCTTTACACCCCTTTGGTTCTCAATCGTCAAAACATGTATCATGTTAATAAATACATAGAGGTTTGATTAAACAAAGTAGTTGTAAATTTTGATTTAAAGCTTTCGTGACTGCAGTAATTCATATTCTTAGTTTTTTCGGTAAAGTCACGTTGAAGAGAAACAACAAAATAACAAAATATATATAAAACAATAAAAAATTCTCACGACGTTTCGACCATAACTCAAACGGTCATCATCACCTGATATATATTTTGTTATTTTGTTGTTTCTCTTCAACGTGACTTTACCGAAAAAACTAAGAATAAAAAGTAGTTGTACTTACGTGCCCGTGCTTAATTTGTGTTTCGATAATTACTTTTTAAAAAATGTGCTTAAAAAAAAATCTGCAATGTCTCGAACCCCCGTGAAAGAGCATCTCGCACCCCAAGGCGGTGCGTGCACCCCAGATTAAGAAACACTGATCTAGGCCCTGCCTCTCAGTCTCAGCCGTGATGCCTCTCCATGGTCATTACATGTGTTTTTTTCCTCTCTTCATGTGACATGTTTCCTCGCCATCTTGGTGAAACATCCCAATCCCGAAAAAGTAACTGCAAATTACTCAATTGTAATGACACGCCGCAGAATTGCCCCCCTACTGTTAAAAACTTGGCAGGACCCTCCAGGAAAATAGTCTTGAGCATAATAATGGCAGTCATAAAATGTGCCATGCAAACACATTATGCATGGCAATAAAACCACATTGATGTAAAAAAAAAAACTTTATTATAATGGTGTGCTGTATGCCATGAAGAAGATTCCTTGTCCAAGTCAGTGCCCATTATATGTTTTCCTTTTTAGGCCACAGTGTTATTGACGAATGCGTTTAGTTTGTGTTAATTTCTTGTGCACCACTGCTAACGCAGCATCATCAAATAATGTGTTTTATGATGATGGGTTTATTTTGTCCAGACATTGGTCACCAGCCTGAGACCATCGACTTGAGATGCGGTTTATTCACGGGCCCTGAAAGTCAAGACTTGAAGTCAAGACTTGAACCCTAGGCCCTCAATGGTGTCAGCTCGGTGCCTGTTCGAGTGGGAATTTCGCACGAGTTAAGCACGGAACCAAATTTAACGAGATGGTTTTTGTGCGCTGTCATTGGTAAACAAACTGAGACCACTGCTCGCCCGAACTTCAAATTACCAATGTATGAATATGCGCACTGTAGGTCACATTACATATAGCCTCCACCAAGTGTAAGATTTAGCGTAGATCTTGACTTTTTTTCTGTCATGTTAAGCATTCTAAAACCATGAATGCTCTGCTTCCAGAAATATGTATTTTTTTACCCATAGTTTAACCCCCCCCCCCCCATGAATGCGTTTGTCATACGTTTTAATATTCACTCCAATCACTCATTCACTGGTGGCCAGTCACCTCCTTACCACTTTTCCCTTGTTACGAACATGGATGCCGCTCCAGTGAACGTCACTCATTGAATCCACCACCCATGTTGAGGATTCTGTCTACCACACTGACTGTTTCGTCTCATCCATGTTGTGTTCAACCACCACCACACTGCAGATCACAACATACAAACTCACTCGCACACAAAGTCGCACGCTCGCTCACTTGCCCACTCTCAAACTCACCCACCAACTCACCCTCTCACTCCCTCACCCACTCAACCACTCGCCCTCTTTTCACACTTGATGTCAAAAGCCTTCTTTCTGCTGCGTTCCTCACACTGTGTCCAACTTTGGAATCCCTGACCATCTCTTTTTATAAACCTCTTATAATAATAAAAATACCTCGCTCGATTGAAGCAACGTGTTAACTCCAATCTGTTACAACTTCACTTACACCGCTCTGAGCTGGCTGTTTGGCGAGTTGGCCATTCGGAGCTGTGCTCTACAACCGTGGCAAAAAAAAAAAAGTCGTGTTTTCACATCTATTTAAATTCATTGTCATCACTACTATTATTAGACAAAAGCGGAGCTTGTAAAAAAAAAAAGAAATCTAAGCCAAAGAGGAGAAGTGGCCCCAGCAGAGTGGGCTGGGGCGAGGCACCGGCTACAAAGGCCTTTGTGGTGTTCGTCTGCCAAGAGGGCCCGGGTGATATAGCTTGAATGCAAGTGTCTCTCGGTTTTCATTTTATTTTCATTTTCTGCCAACAAAGGGGGGGAGAGGGCCCCTTTCTGCGGCGGTGGTGGTGCCGTGTTGTGACATACGGCACGCGCCAGGGCAGAACTGGTCGGGAGCTAAGGCAGGGCCAGCCGCCGCGGGGAAAAATGGCTCGATGTAAAATAATAACGGTAAACTTATTTGTGCTCGCCAGTCAGATTTTGCTCAGAGGTCAAAGCGGTTAGCTGGTACTGCTGAGACGCTGGGCGGAGAAGGGCAGTCGCTAAATTATGCATAATTGAAGCATGCCATTTCATTATATTTATAGTTGGTAATTGGTAACAGATGTGAACACCTCAAAGTAATTGGTAATTTATACCTAAATTACATGGGATGTTTATACAATTACTAGGTTAATTTGTATATATGTTTTATTACTCCAGTAATTTGCAATTGGAATATATTTTGCTTGTCTCTGAATAATTTATTTCCAAATCCAGACATGCTTGTGATTAAACTGGATTTGCAAGTGTAGTGAGGTCACGATTTCAGCCCGGTTATCACCGTACTTAATTGCTAACTTTTGAGATTTCAGATTATTTATTTGACTGCCCCACCACGAACATACCTCTCTGTGCCATGATGAGTGGGAAAGTGCTGGCCCCCTATTTGTGTAGATCGCAGATCACACTTTGAAGGAGTTCAGAGGTAGTTCTGTAGTATATGCTTCCGTGGGCAATTCTCAAACGTAAATCCTTACACTGGTCTGTGAGATCTTGATTTGAAGCTTTCGTGACTGCAAGAATCCATACTCTCTGGTTCTTTCGGTAAAGTCAGGTAGGTATAAAATAAAATAAATCACGACATTTCGGGCGCAACACAAGCGTCCCACCTGATGATTGACGCTTGTGTTGCGCCCGAAACATCGTGATTTATCTTCTTTGGTTCTTTCGGTAAAGTCACGTAGAATGAGAATAAAATAATAAATTGGTAAAATAAAATAACACAATAATATTCTCACGACGTTTCGGCCACAACACAAGCGGCCTTCATCAAGTGAAGGGACGAGACTGTCTGGAGGACAGCGCTTATCAATTTATTATTTTATTCTCATTCTACGTGACTTTACCGAAAGAACCAAAGAAGATGAATCCTTGCAGTCACGAAAGCTTTAAGTCGTGATTTATTTTATACCTACGTGACTTTACCGAAAGAACCAAAGAGTATGGTCTGTAAGAGCTTTGAAATGGATTTGTCATCTCTTGACGTGAGATCTGATTGCACGATTGGGATAAAATTGGGGGGGAAAGATGCGGATTGGGAAACATGGACATCTACGCTAAGGAAATGGAACAACATCTGAATAGTGCGTAAATAATCTTGGAGAGGTGCTTGCTTGGCATTACACTGACAGAGGACCGCTTATCAGAGAAAACACAAGTTACAGACATAATTTTGACTGTTAAGGAATATAATTGGGCTCGGATGGGACCGGTCGCTAGAAGGGGTGATGGACGGTGGTTGAGATTAACGATGGAGCGGCAGTCAAAGGAGGGAATGCGAGTGAGAATACGTCCGCCACGGAGATGGAGCAATGAGCTCACGTTCAGGAGCTTTATTTTATTACTGTGCTTGTTTGTCCATGAAGGCTCGCCAAGTTTCAAGGCTTTTAAAGTTTCTGTAGTAGGGTGAGATGGTTGCGACGTATTATTCCAATTCATCCTTGCAGATGCATTGTTGAACAATGAGACTGAGAGATGCCTTCATCAAGCAGTGGATGGATCATGGTTGATGGTGATGATGATCGGATGTTTGGGGTTTGTTAATGGACGGAATCGACTTATGAATCAAATCGCTTCCCGGAATCGTGATAATCCATCGAACTCTGGGAGGGTGATTTAATCCTTGGATGAAGCCCAGATTCCATTCCAGTTTTTCAGCAGTGCTCCTTCAGTGGCCTGACACGGCCATCATGAGCCCACCCTGAGCCACGCAGGCCACTTTCTCCCCCCCAAGTAATTCGATGCTTAGTTGACACTGCAGTGCCGACCGCTTGGTTTGTAGAGTGTTCAGCAGATTTTTCTCTTCGTCACAGTACCGCACGACAGTAGTACAATGCCGCTAAGACCGAACAGGTTACATTGCACGCAGCCCTTCTAAATTACAGCCTCGGCCTAGCACAACACACTTAAGGGTAGCGATGAGCCCGCGGAATTTTTAGCTTTGCGGGGGAAAAAAAATCCTCAGAAAGAATAATTACATTGGTTGACCATTCTTAACTTGTACGCTCTGCTGTATCACTCAACAAAACCACGTTTCCCCATCCGGGCTAAACTAACACAGTTTTAAATTAAAGTGTGTTGTTTTCCTGTGCGAGTTATTTTTTTTAAACATTCAAATCTAGTTTATCTTGAGCCACCAGTTTTGGTCGAGCGGCGCTTCTGTACGATGAGACTTGAAACCCCCCTCTGCCACAACCCCCCCGCCCCCCCCTCGTGCCACCCCCCCTGTTGTCACCTCCTCCCAACACTCGTCTTTGTTCTATTCAGTGCCACCAGCGTTGCAGAGGTCACTTGACAAAACACGTAAAAACAAATGTCCAAAAAGTAAACTAAAAATGCGCACACAATTGCAAAGACATAAGCGCCTTCGACCCCATCGCTAACCCCCCAAACTCCGCCACCCTCTTTCCCCCCACCGCCCCCTCCCCTCCTCGTTGCCACCGTGACTTTGTATCCTGATTGACTCTCACCTGTTTTTGCACAAAGCCACTGACTGATTGATTTGTAGGCTCGATGACCGATTGCCCACTCTTTGTTTTAAGCGCCGCTGCTATGCTCAAGGGAGAGAACGAACAAAACGTTTATTAAAAACTAAATACAGAGCGGGATATGCAAGCGAGTCACCTTTTATCCTTCCTAGCACAAGGTCAGAGGTGCTTTCCAAGCAGTCATTGGGGCATTCGGAGTTCACACCTGTCTTGCTAGTTGTTGTGTGTGCGCACGTGTGTTCAAGTGCATGTTAGTGACTGTGTGCGTGGTGCTGGCCACCCACCCCCTCGCGTGCTGTGCCGGCCTTCATAGTTGCTTGCTAACAGCACTTGCCCCAACAGTCTGTTACAGCTATACGGGGGATCTTTGTCTTGTTTGTGTGTGTGCGCGCACATCCACCGCTCGTTGGTCACGGTGGCACAGTGGTTAGTGCACTGCGCTACGAACTGGGCAACCCCGAGTTCGATTTACGCTCGTGGCCACAATTATCAGTGACGATTATTTCAACTGGCCCTGGTCCACCCCGAGGTTGACTCGCCCTAATACGAGTACCTGCTGCAGTGTCTAAACATCAGTTTAACACGTAAGACCTCGCGACCAATATCCATAATTTAGGTTTTTTTTTTGGGTTGGATCGTGTAAATATGAATGTGTCGTTAGACCCGCCACCACCCGACACAGCCAGGTTTGTCATGTAAGCAGAACTTTCCAATTCGTTACTAGTACAGCACACCGGTGTGTTGGAGAGCAAATCCACAACATTTACAATGTGAGTGCGACGTTTCGCCCGTAATTACAACCAACATCATCAGGCGACAGCCAGATTTGTGGAGAAATCCTCCTGTTTCGTTCCTTAAATAGAGGGATAAATGTGATGTCGTCACTTGTGAGCCCTCGTGCGAAGGCCAGGGGGTGGAGGGGGGGGGTTAATCAATGCGTATAAATTACAATCTGGCTTTCGCCTGAAGGATGCCTAAACATCGCCACGAGGGAGACAGGTGTGGTGATGGCCATCCGCTACTCCGTGTGCCGTGCCAGCCTTTAAAGGCGCTCACTAACAGCACTTTCTCCAACAGCCTGTTAAGGCTATAAGGGAGATCAATGTATTTCCTATTTTATTGCATATTTAGTATCATTCCACTCCCACGCTGAGTTTTTGTTAACAGATGATGATGATGCCGGTTGTAAGCTCCAGCGAAGCGTCATGCAAAATTGTCAAAATCTCCCTTTTCAACATTTTTCCGCCGGTTTGCCGAAAAGTCAGTCTTTGGCATAGTTGCCCACATGACAACTTGATTAGATTGACCCTGTTGGTTGGTGGAGGGTTTTATATAAATAAATAAATATGCACTTTAAATGAGCTAACTCAAAATAAACCATTTATGAATCATTGCATATGCACTTCACGTTCCATTTGCACCATCAAGATCTAATTTCATGTCATGGATTATACCTAGCTCCGTAAACAAATAATTGTTACCTTGTACCCATGTGCCAACTATTTTCCCCAGGCCTTTCTTGCTCGAGATGAGGCATGCCTCCCTTGCCATGTAATGTGCTTGCTGCTGTATTGGCAGGTTTGGCGGGGTCACCATTGATAAAGAGTCCATTGGCTCAATGGGTCTTGACCATTTCAGTTTCATAACAATAAAGAATTACAGCTCTTTGTCCTTCACTCCGATTAGCGCGGTTGGCCACGTACGGTGCGAAATAAATTCAACGTACATGTAGATAAATGCCTCCTGACATGGTGGCTGTTTGATCATTATTTTACAACACTCATCTGTTTGGATCGTGAAGAGGGTCGGGCTTAGGAATGGTCCTCTTACGTCACTTGCCAGTTATGTTAACTGTAGTAAATTGTGTGAGATAATTGGCTGATGATGTGTTAGCTATTCTTTCCATCCCTGCACATGACAATGTGTCGCCAATGTCGGGGTCTGCAAAGGCGTCACTGATGTTTGCTGTGGCCGTGAATCAAACGCGGGTGGCTGCGTTCATAGCCCAGTCCACTAATCGCTGCTGCTGCTGCTGCTCCCGCCTGTCTTGGTTTAAATGGCAGCGTCCGAACTCGACTCGCCCAGGTGTGTGCTAACCTCTGTGTCACCGCTCTCTCCTATCTCGCACATACATCTGCGTGCGCTGCTTGTGGAGTGCAGAAGAAGTTGGAGTCCCTGAAGGACGCGAAGCAAGCTTGGGAGGACAAAGTGCACGCCTTGCAGCAGCAGAAGGAAACCGTGGAGTCGCCGGAAAAGGAAGCCAAGGAGAGACATCAGGCATCGTGGGAAGGTAACAAACTAAACCAGGTTATTACTTATCCATGGGACCTTTTTGCCAGCCCTCAAAATGATGAAACATTAAGAATAGGTTTCACCCTTTCTCCCAACAAAAAGTGTGCATGCAAGCGTTCGAACCGCACGGCGCGTTCCGACGCCAAACGGACACAGCGCTGGACTTTCACTTTAATTATTGGACGTTTCTATACGTTCTGAAAACCGATGGCTTGTCCATAAATGTTAATTGCGATTGCTGATAGCGCGAAATAAAGATCTAAATTCAGAGGCGTACTCAAAAGGCAAAGGGTGTTGCTGATTTTTCTCTCGCCGCGGTACCAGGCGGAGGTTCTAAATCACTCCGAAGGCTGCTGCCTTCCCGCTCTTTTGTGGCACTCGAACGACACGTGCTCCGCTCGTGAACCGAAGCGCAGCAGGGGGCCGCTGCCGCGATCGAAAAAAAAGAAATGTATATTTTTAAAAAGAATAACAAGAAATTAAACGGACTCGAAGAAAAATAGATTTATTTGCCGCAAGGACCGCATCGAAACGCGATCCCGCCGCAATTTGTTTGTGTTCTTTGCCTGACCGGCGGTCATTACGCCGCCAATAACGCCTAAATAAACTGTGATTCCTGTGCGAGGGCCGTCAGCTGGCCCCCGGGGCTGGGACGGTTCCAGGGTAAAGGTGAAGAAAAGCGAGACAAGCCGGGGGCCCCGTCACTCAGTGACGCTCGTTTAACCCGCGCACCCAACCGAGCCGTCGGCCACACGGCCACCTCGCGGATGGCCCGACGATCGCCCATTGTGCTCGCGCGTGCGTGCGGAGGGCTGGGGGGGTGCGGAACGGTGGCGCAGCGGTTAGCGATTCGCGCTCGTAGGCCAGCATCGGTGACGCATGTCTTAACCTGTCCTTGGGCCTCCCCTGCGTCAACTCGGCCTCAAATGAGTACCTGGTGCTGTGTGTAAACATCAGCAGCACTGGGTGCTGGCCACCCATCCCCTCGTGCGCCGTGTTGGGCTACATAGGTGCTCGCGAAACGTCACTTGCCCCAACATTCTGTTTAAGGCTATGCAGGGGATCTTTGTTTCTTTATTTTGTTGTACCTTGGCTGCGGTGGTTCCATGCGTGTACGCTTATAAACGCGCACGTGCGCAAGTAAACATGGACCGCGCGTGCCCCTTTGTGTCGCGTGATTGATATGTTTTAACCAACCGCGTTTGCTTTGAAGGCAGTGTTCAGACTCACAACATTTAGCGTTTACACCCAGCACTGATGACTTTGACGACAACCGTGATGATGATGATGATGGTGGTGGCGGTGACGACTGACGCCTACGATGATGGTCGCAGTGAGAAGAGTGATGACGGCAATGATTGTGGCTAGGGTGTTGGTGATTGTGGACAACATTTAAAGAATAAATCACAGATTTTTATGTATGCTATCATGATTTTCTGATTTTCATTGATAGTTTTTTTTCGTGGACCTTATTCTCGTCTGCTATGCTAACTTTGGCGATCGCTTTTACCCGGCTGTTTTTTTTTTTTGTCATCGAATCGATACTTGCGGTTTGCAGCTGCGATCGAGTTTATTTGAATGTTGCGTGTGCATGCACGTGTGTGTTGTGGGGAGCGATAGTGTACAGTCTGTTAAGGCTGTATGGGGGATCTTTGTTGTGCGTTTTGTTTGCAGAGTTGAAGGAAGCGCGACGCAAGGAGGTGGAGAAGGAGAAGGCAGGAGCAGCGTTCTCCAAACTTGACGAAAACTCGGATGGGTTGTGAGTACCATTGCGTTTTGTTTTGAGTTTCAACAAGTGCTGTGCTTTTGTCGTAGTTTTTTTTTTCTTCAGCTGCAAGTTAATTTCGCATGGTGTGCTACCCGTGGGCAGTCTGTCCTACGGACGGAGGCGATATGACACTCGCAACCCACCGTCGTCATTGGCCACTCGCGTTACACCGCTCACCGCTCGAAAACTCACCTGACCCTCGCCACTCACCAGTTTGTGCAATATAGTGGGAAGGCCATTGAGGTTCAACAGCCACCACCCCCCACCCACCTCCACACCCCCGCACACACACACACCCCTCCCCAATGGCACAGTCCTATCCGTTAGGGTTTTGAAATGGGGATGTTTTTATCCGGGACGTTATTTTAAATGGTAGGGGGGTACATAAGCTACGCTGGGAGCCGATAAGACAAATTATCTGGTGAAATGTCATTATGGACCTCGTTTGCATGCAATTAATGAGCTTTTAACATTTCTTAAAATAACGTTGATTCTGTGTGGTCACCCCCACGCTGAATCCCTCCCCTCTCCCCCCCCTCTGTGAAAACAGACGCTACTCCGTGCAGCTCACTTCCGATTGCTCCTTCCTCTGTTGCCTCCCCTCTCATCATCACCCTCTCATCTCCGACATCTTGGCCCGGTTATTGGCCCAGGGATGAAAGGCACCATTCCTCACAGATGCGTTCGCGACCCGTGTAATATACGGCCATCTCCTGGCAACGTTGCAGCCCTGGTACACGACGGGGTGGATGGCCAGCACAACACCTGACCGCCTTTGTTCCCCCAGTGGCGATGTTTTTACTACACCGTACCAGGTACTCATTTAAGGCTGAGTCGACCTAGGGGAGGCCCAGGACTGGTTCAGATAATCGTCACTGGTGTTGGCCGTGAGTTGGAATTGAACTCGGGTCACTGGGTTTGTAGCGCAGCGCGTTAACCGCTACACATCCCCTTGTACACATCATGCAGCGGATCCAGATACTTGATGCGCAAATGGAAAATCCGTTGTGCTGTGACTGATCACCTAGAACAGACCTTGGAACATGACGACTCAATGCCCGATTCACAAATACGAAGGAGGCAACTGCACAGCAATACACTCTGCTACTCATGACGTAATTATCTGGCTTCGCCACCTCAACGTATAGTTGTTGCTCTGCATGAACATCGGCTGCACGAAGATCATAAATATCCTCGTGTGTGTTGCCATCCTTCACGGCTCTTGCAATGCCTTAATTCATATTGGTTCTGCACGTGGGCCAGTGCGATTACTACTTATCAACGGTAGTCGTCACCGTGGGCGTTGTGCCCTCTCTTTGACCGCCAATCCATCTGTGGTCTCGTCCATCGGCCATCATCCCATGCCGTGATGTGTTCTGCCCAAGCTCGCGCGGCCTTCTTTACCCGTTCCGAGACGTCCGTAAGTAGCAGAGTGGGTCCCGTTCACCTCTGAATCTCGGAAGGCACAGGCAGCTCAGCGTTCATTTTATTTAGAGAGCCGTAGTGCCATTGTTTTTAAAGACATTGTACTCGCCGCAGAGAACCATAGTGACACGACTGCACTCAATGATAGCTGGCACCAAAATGTGCCACACTCCCTCTCGCATGGCCTTGTGGGAGCCTCGGTACCGACAAAGTTATTTTATTTTACATTTTCTTTCAGTTTCGCTTTAAGTTTTGAATGGAATCGGACGAAAAGTTGATGACGTGAAGAAAAATTGATGACGTACACGCTCGTCATCGGAACGGGAAAGGGGTGAAGAGTCAATACAACATGTATAATCTGATTCCTGCTTTCCCCTTTAAATTCTTTCTGCGTTGACGCCACGGTCTCTCGGTGGCGAATGGCGGGTGCATTTGTTGCGGGTGTGGTCCGTGTGTTCCAGCGTGTCCGTGCAGGAGTTACAGGCCCACAAAGAGCTGGATGCAGATGAAGACGGGGAGGTCACAGAGGTTGAGGTGCAGGTATGCTTCGGTTGAGGGAGCTAACACAATCGTGATCTCATCTTTATCGGCGGCCGACTTCCTTAAGTCGGTTGACTAAAGGGGCCATAATAGAGGCTTTCATGGGTCAGATCGCGTAAATATATAAATGTGTCGTTAAACCCTCCACCACACGACACAGCCAATTAGTAAGATTTGCGACGTAAACAAAACACGACAATTAGTTACTAGTACAGCACACCGGTGCGTTGGAGAGTAAACCCACAACATTTACAATTCGACTACGACGTTTCGCCACCAGTTATAACCAGCCTCATCAGGTGACAGCCAGAATTATGGAGAAATCCTCTCCTACTGTTCTGGTCTTAAATAGAGGAGGGGTAAATGTGATGTTGTTACTGTGAGCCAATCAGATGTGAGGACCAGAGGTGGGGGGGGGGGGGGGGGGGTTAATGTAGTCATATAAATTACAATGGATATTTATTACTAGTTGGGTTATTCACAGTTAACATAATGTACATTGTGTATATACATTATGCATGTGCAATAAATAAAAAACCTTATGAACTATTTGAGCTTCATCGCAATGTGATGAGCACCATTTGCATGATGTAAGACCACACACCTCGTGTGGATAAAGAAGCCAGTTGCAGTGACTTTTTGCCAGGACCCGTTTGGCACGAAGTGATGTTCTGTTGCAACAACAGTGAGGGGTCCGTATGGACACCTGGTTAGTCTCCTGACAATGCTGATAGCACAGTTGAGGGATGCCCTGGTAAAAAAAAAACTCGATAACCCACAAGATCTCACTGTCTAGAAAGTAGACTTTTTTAAGAGAGTCGGATTCAGTTGAGTGATTTTTTTTTTATTTATTTTGCAATCCATTCATCCATGGGGAGACGATACAAAAATAAAAACTAGTAGCATTATACGGTAAAGTGTTGCAATGAAGCTAAATATGGGTTATCTTTAAACTCGTACATGTGCGAGCTGTGACGTCGTTTGCAGCACCGCCCCTCGACTGGAACACGATTCGGATTTTGGCTCTACTTTAAAAAAAAACAAAAAAGAGAAAATCCCTGACTTCTGTGCTCGCCTTTCAGCGTCGCGCGGGCGTGACGCTACCGTCGTCATCTTTGCACGTTCACCGGCGTGAGCAACCCGGCCCCGAACGAACGTATGTTGTTCCCGTAAAGAAAATAATAATAATAATAATAAAAAAAGGGCCACCGGTTCATCTCCAGTGGCGGTGTCGGTCGTCTCAGGCAGAGGTATCTGAAGTGCCTTTTCAAATTCAGACACAATGTCGTTCCTTTATTACCCACCACACTATTTATATCTACGTCGCCCGACCGGCTTACTGACGTGCCTTGCGGAGCGCCTGGGCGTGCGCCCGCACGGCTTGTGCACGTGCTCAAAGTGCCGTGACCCCCAGACCGAGGTTTGTGACCATTGTGCGGCCTTGACAAGACGCGCGGTCGCAGGGGCAGCGGAAGGGGTCGCCGCTCTTTTGATGGCAGACGCGTGCGGCGCACGTGTTTGGCTTGCGCTGCCTCGCCCCACCCGCCGTTTCTTTCGCTGAGCCATCATCGTCGTCGTCGTCGTCGTCGTCGAATTCCTTGACCGATCCACTGCTGGATGATGAGGTCCCTTCCCGAACCGTCACCTCAATGTGCTGGGTTGTAGCAGTCTTGCTGAGCGCTGTCAAGTGTTGCTCGATGATCGACAGAGAGGCATCCGCTGTGCGTTCTGCGCACCGTGCGCAAGGCCAGAGCCGATATTTTTTTTTCGAGATTGAGAGGGGGGTTAGGTTACTGGGCATATTGGTGGGCGGGGGACTAATACCATACACACAAAACACTCAACACATTCGTCAATTACACTGCCTTAAAATAAAAAAATATATATATACGAGGTCATTTTGGGCAATGGCCCTTCACAGCACAATATAATATATATTTTCATTTTAAGACAGTGTTTTTAAAGATTGAGTTTTTTGTTGTTGATAATTCTGTTTGTGCACTGCCATTGCTGCCGCAGCACCGCCAAATAATGTGTTTAATGTAGTGTTAGCCAGCACTCCTGTTTAAATTGAATTCAGATTTCAGCCAGTTGTGATTTAAGGCTGTCGAGGCAACAGTGACCATGACCAGAGAAAGAGAGTGGAAGGAGCGAGTCCAGGCTCATGGTTTCGCTGCCACGTAATGAATGGCAGATAAGAACGAGATATTAAGCAAGCTTCTCGAGTGTAGAAAGTTCAATTAGCCCAGCACAAACATTACAGTGTCAAATAAAAGGGGCTTCTTTTTTCACTTCGGATTATTTCAGTTGTGAGAAAAAATTTGTTATTGTCCTGCGGAGCAAGAGCCCGTTGAGACAACGCACTTCAGGGGTGACATTCATCTCTGTTGGCAGACCTGAGTCACGGCTACATCTTGGGTGCCACGGTGGCGAGATGTCAACTCCCTTGCCTGGTGTGCAGGAGGTTGTGGGTTCAGTCCCAACCCTGACACCTGTATATTTGGAGTTTGCATGTTCACCCCGTGGTTGTGTGGATTTTTTCGCCGGGTCCTCCAGTTTTTCCCTCCACATTTATAAATATACGTTTAGCGTATTTGGCTGCTATGAATTTCCACATGATATAAGCCACTTAGTTGAGCTATCATTCGTTACTTCTGAAAAAGAGCTATCTAGTGCAGTGGGCCGTTCCTGGTAAAATAAATAGTTTAGTTTAAGACTTTGCGCATATGGATGCCATCGTCTCATTAGTCAGTCCTTTATTTAAGAACAGGCATGGAGGGGTTTTCATCCAGCAATGGATCGACAGAGCTGCAGCTTTAGATTACAAACATGAACTTAACCTCGTTGCAAGCAGTTCCCCACCCATTTGTCAACATCGCCCAGATTTGTACAAATGCCGCTGTATCTCAGCTTCGTATTTCGGTAGATTGCACGTGTCTTTAACTCTCAGAGGACAAATAATTTTTTTGAAACATGTCACTTCATCAGCATGGTTGGCTACGGACGGTGCGAAAGAAGTTCAACAGACATGCAATCATTCATTACTAATGTGCAGTTGTGCGAGGGTATCACTCTTTGATCACATGATACATCTGCCATCTAGTGGCAAAATCAGTGAAAACATGGCACTTGAATACAAGTGTCAGGTCCCATTCATGATGCATTTTTTCTGAAATAGCGCTCAAAATAGGTTACTGAATTGTTAAAAAATATTATCTATACGTGTTTAAACATCATCATGTTATTATTATGAATTGTAATTAATTGACTGGCTTGCAGACTTTTCTGGGAGGAGCTGAGACGGTGGACCTGCAAGGATTTGAGGAGTCTGTGTGGGAGGGCATCAAGGAGAAGCTGAGACTGGAGGTGAAGGATCGACTCGCTCGACCTGGGCCCCCATTTGCCTGTGTCCCGCTTCCCATCTACAATATTTAAAGGCATTTTTTTCGTTGCGGAGTGTCTGGGTGGCTCATAGGTTAGCACTCTGACCTCTGAACCACTCTCGTAGGTTTATGGTCTCAAACAGGTGACCAGCACATAAAATTTAGTTTAGCACGTAGGCTTTCGCGACTAATATTATCCGTGATAAAGGTCTTTTTTGGGTTAGATCGCATGAAAATGAATGTGTCGTTCAACTCTCCAACAGACAGGTGTGCTGAACGAGTAACCAATTGGCTTTTGCTTGCTTACGTGATACACTTTACACATTGGCTGTGTCGGGTGGTGGCGGCTTTAGTGACACATTTATATTTACGTGATCTAACTCAAAAAACCTCTTACGTTAAAACTTATTTTCACACCTCTCTCCCTCTCTCTGCCATATCCCTTCTCAAAGATGTCTGCGATCATGGTCTTCTATTTAGCCCTGTTCATGATGTTACTCAAGGACTTTGCATTAGATAGTCCCAGTTGCGTCAGCTTTATCAAATTGCTTATGGGCTCAATTTGCTGTCTTCCTCCGACCTTCTGGGACTTAATTTGGATAAATTCCAGCCCTGAGAATCAAACGCCTCGTTTCGGCGGCCGGGTGGCTGCGAGCTGGCCCCGTTGAGATTCTGGGTTCCAATCAATGCAGTAGCAGCATGTGACTAAACCCTGGTTCTGCTGTCATCGCTTGTAATAGATAACCAATCTTGGAAGTGAAGCATGACATTCAATTACAATTCTGGATATATATAAGCATCTGAATGTGACCGCTGTCCATGGAGCGGCAGTCCGTCTTAGTGCGGAGAGGAGTGAAGGATGGTTTTTGAGCCTGACATTTTTGCCGCTGGAAATGAGCGCCGCCAACCGGCCCGTACCGCTCGCTTGAGAAAGGAAGACGCATTCGCGCTGATCGGTCCCATTCATCTCCGGATCTCCCCCCAGCATCACGGGCAATTCATTCCAACCGTGACCGCACGCTTGTGGCCACGTCGCTTTTGATAATGAAGCTAATAGCTCAGTGGGCTTTATCTGGTAAGATAAAAATAGATTTTAAGTTTTCGTGACTGCAAGGATCCATATTCTTTGGTTCTTTCGGTAAAGTCACGTAGGTGGAAAAAGTTAATAAATAAAGCACTAAAAAAAAAAATTTGTTTTTATTTTTTCACCTACGTGACTTTACCGAAAGCACCAAAGAATAAAGATTAAAAAAAAATTAGTTTTAGTATACATTTTTTTAAGCGATTTGCTTACATCTCTTATACTTAGCACTCGTATCATTTTTTGTGTATTTGTTGTGACGATATGATTTGCCCCCTACTGGACATCTGTGAAAAAAGAGCTTTATAGCTCATTGGATTCCTGCAGTATGAATACATTTTCTGAGTTGCACATGGCGAGTGAATGACATGTCCTAAGCCACCCTCTTGTGGTGAATGTGTATAGTATTTCATAGTTTTGTTCATTGAGTCCCGTACGAGTTTTTGTACAGAGTGTGCCGTGGCCTCCGCTCGTTCAGCACAACCTTGGTAGGTAACTGCAAAATTAGAGCTGTTTAGGTTTTTCTTGTTACATCTTTACACATACAAAAAAAAATCCATCTCTTGGAGACGATAAGAGGACGTTTGCTTTGAGCGAAGCGGTGTTGGAGGAACGAGACGGAGATTTCTCCCTGGCAGGTATTAAAGCCTTGGGACACGGATGATATGTGTTGGTGCAGGATTAAAATTATAGTGCAGGCCGTGTCTCGCTTAACGAGCGAGATGCGTTCCGCCAAACCTGTCTCGTTGAGCGAGAACTCGTCAAACGATCGTCGTTTTCCCATACTCTTTGGTTCTATTCGGTAAAGTCACGTAGGTAAATAATACCTACGTGACTTTACCGAATAGAACCAAAGAGTATGGATCCTTGCAGTCACGAAAGCTTTAAATCTAGCGTCGTTTTCCCATTGACCCCCACGTTAAAAGCCGAGTTTGCCTTCCAGCCCCAAAAATGTTCCTCTCTTGAACAACATTTCTTTTTTTTCCACGTGAGGAATACAGCTTAGAATTTTAAAATAGAGTAATAAAACATCAAATGTAACACTTCCCACACGTGAATAACCACAGTGCTTGCAGTAACCTGTCCTCGGCTTCTGCATTTAATTAGCGCCTCCACCCCTCCCCTCCACCCTACCTATCCCGTCCCCCCATTAGTGCCACCACGAGGCCTCCCAGCTAGTAAACAGGCGCATGCTGCAGTGCACCCCCTGCCACCACGGAACGTGTTTGATAGATCGGCCTCCGCTCGTTACGCAAGCATTTGCTCGTTTTGTGACCACATTTGGTCTAAATTCGAATTTTTCGTGATGGTGAATTCTCCGGGAAAGAATGCTCGCGAAGTGAGATACGCCGGTATTCGATCGCTCTGGAAGAGAGAGAACGACTTGGGGGCGCGAAGAACAAGCGGGAAAGTCAGCCGCCAGGCAGTGAGTTGGCACAAAATGATTCTCCATGATCTGCAGTCCTCTATATATTAAGGTGTTATCGGCCAATTCATCAGTGTCTGCGTGTGGAAGATTGACGCTGTCCGTCCCGCGATCTCGCTTGACCTCAGGGCGACGTGGGCGAGTCGCCGCCTCCGCCGCCCCCCGCGGCGCCCGAGGAAGGTGCCGAGCCCTTCCCGGACCTCCGCTACGACGAGGTGGACGACGAACCCAGGGAGGACGTGGAGGACGACGTGGACGACGATGTGGACGACGATGTGGACGATGAGGTCGGCGACGAGACCGACGAGGACGACGCGCACCACGTGGAGGACGACCTCAAGGCGAGTTGACCGCTCGCAACAACAACAACAGCAGCAGCAGCAGTGTCCGCAGTGTCCGTCGCCGGGTGTGGTGCAGTGACGTCACCGCGTCGGCGCTTGTGCCAGACTGGGTGCACTACCTTGAGGCTGTTGCGTGAAGTGTGGAAAGGCTCGCTGGCGGGAGGGAACGTGGTCACGGGACACCCAGGCGTTGTGGGTTGGGGTTAGTGATAGGGGTAGTGATAGGGGTAGTGATAGGGGGTTGGGGTATTTGTTCGGGTTAGTGATAGGGTTTAAAGTTAGTGATAGGGGTAGTGATAGGGGTTGGGGTAGTTATGTTTATAGGGGTAGTGATAGTGGTAGTGATAGTGGGAGTTATAGGGGTAGTGATAGGGGTTGGGGTAGTTATGTTTATAGGGGTAGTGATAGTGATGGGGCTAGTGATAGTGGGAGTGATAGGGCTAGTGATAGGGGTTGGGGTAGGCCTGGTCGTAGCTGGGGGGTGATGGCAGGGAGTAGCAGTGGCAGGATGAGCTCAGTAGAAGAGATGGTGGTTGTTTTAAGGAAGGAGGGGAAGCTGCAGGCTATCGTGGAGATGATTGTTTGATGCGGTGCAGTGGGAGTTGTTTCCAGTGGAGGGGAACGAGAGAGCGAGACTGGGCACAAGGCGAGGGAGGCATAGAGAGGGACAGTAGAGACCACTGGGCGTGTAGAGGACGGGATGGGACTGAGTAAGATTTGAGATAAGTGAGATAGGGCGGGGCAAGACCTTGGGGGGATTTATAGACTAGAGTGAGAAATTTAAACAGACAGCTAAAGTCGACAGGGAGACAGCATCGTTTGGAAATGGGAAAGTAGAGCAGAAGTGTGGGAATTGTGGGGGAGGTTTACTCATTAAACTATTTTTATTTACCCGGTAAAGCCCACCGAGCTATTACCTCTTTTTCAGAAGCGACCGGGCCACAACATGATAGCTCAATGAAGTGGGCTCATCAAGTGGAATTTATTGCAGCCAAATACTCTAACCGCATGTGTTGATTATAAAATGTGGATGGAAAAACCGGACGACCTGGAGAAAAATCCACACGACCACGGGGGAGAGCGTGCCCACTCCAAATATACAGGTGTCAGAGCTGGGATCGAACCCACGACCTCCTGCATACCAGGCGAGGGAGATAACATCTCGCCACCATTACGCCCTGTTAAAAAATATCTGGGCTTATGCATTTTGTATCTGTTGAAGAGGAACAAAGGCGTAGATCTACGTATCACGGTCGCCCCCATGATACGTGGATCAAACCAATCACTCGAGACACCGGTATGGCATCAAGAGAAGTTCATGAAAATGCTTTCGCAAGAGGTCACACACGTTTGGCACAGCGGTCCTTCGCTGACTATGCTTCATGGCCTTCTGTTCATGAACACAAGTAAACGGTGGGTGCTGTGGACGCAGACTCTCTCCTCCTGACCGTGCTGCCCCTTCTCACACCCCACAGGAGCGAGACGCCCAGGGAGACAAGCAGGACACGCTGGACGATGAAGACAGGATGCCTGCGTTCGATCCGGACACACAGGCACTCATTGACGGTACGGGTGGGGGACAGGGGGGGAGAGTGGGGCTTCTCTTGGCCCGCGGTCATTGTTGTTAGATGACGGGTTTTTTTTTTCACGTGGTGCCATGCGCTGGAGCACACTCCTCCTTTCAGGGGAAGTGGTGTTGGACTTCTGGATCGAGTGAACGGCGGATCATTGACTTGGTCGGGAATAGTTTTGGCAGGCAAGGGAATTGTTGGAAGTTTGAATGCTAAGGTGATAATAAGGTTGAAATGTAATAAGGTTTAGGTCGGTCACTTTAGTCTTTCCAGCAGTGTGTGACCCGTTAAACAAATACTGCTGGCTTGCCCCAGGTGATTATAGGCAAGAGCTATCCAGGTAGAACATGTGGCCTGCTCCACCTGGTACAAGTAATAGTATTTGGTAGAGGTTGTGGAAGTTGTGTCGGTGCGTTCAGTTGCAAGACTGTGTTCTATGTGTGAAGCTATTTAGTTTATTTCTGGTTGAACCTTGAGTGCAGGGGTTGGTGTACAGCGCTGTGAACCCAGGTTACCCGGGTTTGTTTGCGGTCCATGGCTAACATCAGTGGTGTGTGATATCCTATTCGGTCCTGGGCTTCCCCCCATCAGCAACTAACGCTGACCAGTGTGGTGAAGTATGATCGAGAATGCTCCGTGACTTACGTGGCTTGGGAAGACCTTTATCTCATAGTGGATTGACATTATGCTCTTTGTACAAGCTTGCAGCCATTCTAATGGGGATGACGCAAGTAACACTCGTCTGACCTTCAGCCACCCACCACTCGGTACACAGTGGGTGGGTGTTTGCTAATGCGCGATGTGCTGATGCTCGCTTTGGACAGCAGGGGGAAGCCCTTTACAGAGATTGCCCGCAAATGCGAGGACTTCGGATGCACCAGTTGAGAGTGTAGCCTCAGAAGTGCACCGTGGTCAGATTGTCGCTGCGAGTCATATTTTTATTATTGATTAAATTTCGGCTGCTTGGTCCGACATCCTGGGACATGTGGCCCAGCCCGTTCGCCTCCTATTGGGTTGTGCCAGCCCCTTTCCGTGCGCTACCACGTCTCGTGGAGCCGAAGAGGAAGAGCTCAGGTCAGCTGGTAGAATATAAAGCAAGGGCGAGCAGGTATTGTGGGCAATGAGTAATTACTGATTTTTTTTTTTCTCGAAAGCCTCAGTTGTGTCTTGAGGACGTATTCGGGAGGTTCCTGTTTATCCGCTTCTTCTCGTAGCTGCAACGTGGAAGGAAGTGCAGTACCTGAAGGGTACTGCACATGCTCTTATGATTTTTTTTGCGTGCAAATCTCTACACATGGGCTGATAGGTTACTTGCTGTACTGACGTGACACGAGGCACCTGGTACACCTGCAGGGGGAGTGTCTCGCACACAACGATTTATTTGCGCGATTCAGTCTCCACATTGAATGCGTGTGCGATGAACTTCTTTCGCACCATACATAGCCGCTTATCGGAGGTGCGGCGGAAGGGCAACAAGTAAAACACAGACAAAAAAAAAGTGCTTGATTACTTGAGTGTCACATTACATTTGGCAAACTGGCCGATAGATACCCCACGTACATAACAGGGAGCGATTATGGATAAAGCAACGTTGCTTGCTATAAGCATCTGCATGTCGATTGGGGAAAGCCGTCACTTTGACAGGAGTCCATCACCTGTTGAGATGACGGTAAGAGGACTGTCGCACATCAGTGGGCCATCTACCAATACAAGTGTTTGAAAGGACAGATTAGAATAAAAAGGTGGATTTATGGAAATGTAAACTAAACTATTTTAATTTCACCAGGTAAGTCCCACTGAGCTACGTAGCTCTTTTTCAAATGCGACCTGACCACAAATGATAGCTCAACCAAGTGGCTTATCACGTGGACATGTATAGCAGCCAAAATACTCTATAAACGCGTGATGTTGATTCTAAATGTGGAGGGAAAAGCCGGAGGACACGGAGAAAAATCCACACGACCACGGGGAGAGAGAGAGAGAGACACGCACACTGCAAATATACAGCAGCAGGCGTCAGGGTTGGGATCAAACCTACGACCCCCTGCATACCCGGCGAGGGAGTTAACATCTCACCACCTCGGCGCCAAATTGAAAGCAAGGAGGAGGAATTAATAAGTTAGAGCCTCAACGGGGGTTACTAATTTTCTCGAAGGTAAGGGGAGGCGAGACTTAACGTGGCTTTTGGCACGTTTTGAGTAGAGACCAAGGTGATACCATTTGCTGGGCTACGCAGATGCCACCGGTGTACAGCAGCAGGAGGAGAAGGAGACCGTGGGGGAGGATGGGGTGTAACGAGGACAGTGGACGTGGCTAGGGAATAGAAGCGCATGGAGGGAGAAAATATGAGCAGCCATCCCCATGCAGTAACAGGGCTTCTGGCGTAGAAGAAGATTCTAGTCATTGGGGCATCTCTGTACATCTGTGGGTTTCCATGTGAAATATCTGGCTCTCTATGTACGTTTATGGATCATGCGAGTGTATGGGTCTCTGAGCAAGTCAATGGATCTCTATGTCAATGTATGGATCGTGTAAGTGTATGCGAGCCTATGTGTCTCTAAGTAATTCTATGGATCTCGATGTGAGGCTGGTGAATGTGATTAGAGACGAGGTGCAGAATAGAAGCGCATGTAGGGAGCAAATCTGAGCAGCTAGCCTCGTGCAGTCAATAGGTCTTCTGGCTGGGTCTTCTTGTATGTCTCTGGGCCTCCGTGTAATTTGCTGAACCCGTGCAATCATGAGACTTGTGAATTCAAAGATGATGTAAGTCATTGGGTCTCTATATACATCTTATCTCTGGGCCTCCATGTAATTATCTGGTTCTCTATGTACGTGTATTAATCTTGTTAGTGTGTGTGAGTCTGTGTTTCTCTGAGCAAGTCTGTGGGCCTCTTTGTGATTACAGTGGATGTGACTAGAGAAGAGGCACACGATAGAAGCAAGTAAAGACAAAAATGCGGGCATAATTAGTTTATTTTGAGTTAGGTCATCAACCGTGCTAATCGGAGTTGTCACGTGGGCAGGCACGCCGATTGATTTGGTCTTTCAGCAATACCCAAAACGTTGAAAAGCTGCTCTCGCTTAGCTGTTGCTAACGTCTGATGATGCTGCATGCCAACTAAAATTGTCAACAATTTGATTGCTTTTCAACATCCTGCTAGTTTTGCTGAAAAACCGAATTGGTCGGGACAGCTCGATTTCATTGGCTGTGTTGGATAGTGGAGGGTCATAATTAAAATCATTGACTTCATACCCACACGATTTAACCCAAAATACACTAATTATGAATCATAATATCGGTCGTAAAAGCCTACATTTTAGATAAAAATGCTAGCAGCTGACCCCATGCAGCATTTATATCTTCTAGACTAGAAGATGAAAGATGTTTTTTTTTTCCCCTTGTGAATCATTGCATAATAGCATAAAGGTCTGCCTTAACCTTTCCTTACCTTGGCAATTAACGCATTTGCGGCGATGGTGATTATATCAGTGAAAAGGGGGCGACATTTTTACCGTTCTACCCCACCCCTCCGCTTATAAATAACGTCGGCCCACAGCCATGTGGAGTCCTCCGACTTTAATGTGAGCCGTTCACCTTGACCCCTGCTGGTCACGTCAAGTACGCATGCCGCACACTGTACAGCGATCAATTTTTTTGCCTGTTGTGTTTTTTTTCTCTTCTCATGTTTTTTTTTTTTCCTCCGTCCACTCTTCTGTCTGTTCATTTGAAGTGTGTAATTTTTTTGCGGTGGATAACCCGTTTTTTAGGTAACATGTCTTTTTTTTTTTTTAACCACAGGCAGCCTGTGGTAGATCTTAACGTAATGGCTGCGTCTGCGTGGGTGCACTTCGGAATGGAGCTTGTAAGTTAATTTTCTAAAACGTTTCTCATCATCGCTGGGTTTCTGCTACGCCATGTAGTCTCGGCTTCTTCTCTAATGTGGGCTCTTCGGCGATGCAGTGCAATTCGTCTTTATGAAGCTTCCAAGCGTGATCACAAGATGCTGTGCACGAATGAACGCATGTGCTTTGCTTCAGTGCGATATCTTGGGAAGGAGGGATGTTTCTGAATGAGATGTTTGTGAATGACAGAGGCGGATCTAGAAACTTCCCAAGGAGGAGGACAATGCCAATATTTCAAGCATTTTAATTAGGGCCCGACACTCCATCTTCTTCGCATGGCTGATGTTGACGTTGAGCAACAACTATAATTTTACATATAGGGGTGGTTGAGACGGATGACTGCGTCAGGAGGAGCGGAGCGCATCGCCGCTGCTGTGGTGATGCCTCCTCTTCCGTGTTTGTGAATCGAGGCGTTGAGTCGTTTTGCGTGCCGTGCTTCTGTCCTTGATGGCGACCACAGCTGTCGCACACGGGAGAGGTTTTAATTTCCCGATTGCGCTTCCAAGTATCCGTAACCGCTGCTGCCGTGGTTCCTGTGCGGATGCGGTGCCAGGGGTTATGGCCAAGAAGCTCCGCGGACAGTCGAGCCGCGGGTCTCCTGCGTGGGGTCCCGGTGTTTTGTCTGTGACCTCTTGTGAACTCCATTCGGCCTTCCAAGCCTCATCATCATCAGGGCTGAAGTTTCGTTGTTGAAGGTTAAGCGCGCGGGTTCAGAAGGCGGTGAGGGACGTCATTCAGATCCTGGTGGATTGCGCCCTACACTACATTAATAATACAAAGCATTCAATGTATTTTCTCTACGGGGAGGGGGGGGCTATCAGCAGACACCCCCCCCCCCATCGCCCCCCGCCCCCCACCACCCCCCACTTGGATCCCCCACCGGTTGAATGATGGCTCCAGATGGAAGGAGACTTCATCACTCTGAAGGCCGTGTTTAAGGCACTACAATAGAGAGAATGGACGGAGCGTGGCGTAGCGCTGGTCAGGACACTGCACGGGCTCGGGCACCATTGTGCCCTGGACCGTCTTCGCAGTCGGGAGCTTGAGTGCTGATTGATTGACGTTGGCCCCCCCCTCCTGCTTCGAACGCGC